TACTCAATACACGGTAATAACATCCCGAAATGGCTGAGTAGAAAGACTGTCAGCTGCGTAACTGGACAATCAAGCTTTGAACTGCAACTGACCAAAGGGTCAAAATAACAATGCATTGGTCCTAGTCTGTTTCTTCGAGCTAGAGGCTATTTGAGTGCAATGAAAATGAAAGCCACTATATTTTTATCTATACAATTTTTTTATTTCCTAAATTTCAGAATCTCTGTGAGACAGCAATATTTTCCAGGCGAATGATTTAGAGCAATTGTAACAATTTTGATAAACCCCAATAGGTTTACGAGGGGCTTTTTGAATTTCTTTTAGGAAGAATTAAAACTTGTTCAGGACAGTCAAATGTGGTCTTGCAGTTTCTTCTTGAGCACTTTGTTTGTTTGTGGAATTCGTTCTGCTTGTACCCTATCTTTTTAAGTTTGACCATCAAACGACTGCATGCTATGAATTCACACCTTCATACCTAGCTCGGATTTCCTTGAATACTTTAAATAAAGGTTCTGTAGTACACTTTTGATGAGAAACAACAACGAAATGAAAAATAACTGTGAAATTAACTGTTCGATTTATGGATGACAATTAAAGGTTGAAACCCTGACTTCCAATGCAACGCACGCTAACTTTTAGGATTTTAAAGAGCCGAAAGCATGTAGGGAAGAGGACAAGTTGTTCAAGAGGGAAAAAAAGAGGATGGAAAAAGCTGTAAGTTTGTGAAACTACATGTGAATAATAAAAGCGCACAGGAACCGCAGAAAGACGGAGAAAGGAAGGGGTACGGAAATAATTCAGGACATTTTGGCTGGGGGAAACGTATATCAAAAAATGTAGTTTACATAATTTTTACCCGAAAACTCAGCAAATTTATAGTGCCTCGAAGTGGTTCACTTTTAGTATAATTTTTACTCACATTATCTGCTACCCTCTTCGTGGTCTCATGTTATTTCGTTCTTTTGGCTGTATAACTTGTATAAGCAGCGCTTTAGCTCGTAGAGTACCAGTATATTTCGGCTACCCTCACAGCCCAGAATAGTTATCTCTGACTAACAGTCTGTCCCAAAATCCCCAATCTTTGGACTGTTTTAAATTATTTGGCAAGTATTCGCTCATTTTCAACGGCATTAACGAGATCGAAGTATAGTAATCTGGCTTAGGCATAAGTAGATTATCAAACATTCGCCGCAGCACTCCGGCAAAAGAACTATCAATTATGTTAATTTTTGCTAGAAGCGAAAATCAAAACTATTTTGTATGAGAAAATTATGATGGAAAAAATATAAGAAATTATAGTTACATGCTATTTACAGCACTAGTAAGTGATGTCCACGGAAAAGTAGGCGACCATTGGAGTGGTCCCGAAAGAGTGGCGTAAAGACATAGAACAGGCCGTGGGTAGCCCAGAATTGGAAGGCCTAGCACAGCTGCGCCCGACCTGTTGGAGCAT